GAGCCAGCGTGGCGCTCGTGCCGCAGGTGGCCCGGCCCAGCACAGGGCCCTGCGCGCTGCCGCCGCCGCCGCGCTCGCCGCCGCACTTGCTGCCTCCCTGCTGCTGCTGCCCGCCTGGCCCCAGGCGCGGGCCGCCCGCCCGCACGGTCAGTACTGCCGGGGCGGCTCTGCGGCTCCCGCAGCACGGGCATGGGGACAGGGCTGCCTGGCGGCTTAGGGGTGGTGGGAGGCAACGGGATGGGGAAGGCATCGCGAAGGGCCCGTTGGGGTGGCCTGGAGGTGGCTGCGAGGTGCCAGCCCCTCATGTTTCCTTCCCCCTCGGGCCTCGTGTTAACTGAGCGCTGCCCCGCAGCGAAAGCATCGCTCGCACCTCCGCAGCAAAAGCGTCGCTCGCACCTCCGTGCTTTCCTTGGTCCTAAAGGCGCCGGGGCTTCCTCTAGCCACGCCACAGGCCTGCACGGAGATGTGGCTCTGAAGCCCTTCCCCATGGCGGCACCGCGGCCGCACGCCGAGGAGGGATGCGCTGGCCAGGACCGTGTCCCTGCCAGCCCTAACACCCCACGTGTGTGAGGCAGCCCCCTCGAGCAGCTCCACGCAGGAGCAGGGGTGGCGAGAGCCCTCGCTGCGCTCCCCGCGTGGTGCCCCTCRGCTCGTGTGCTGCATCTTGCCCATCAAGGGGACGCTCAGAGCAGCCGTCCCGCTCTCGGTGGCCTCGCAAACAGGGCTCCTGCCGAGGCTGTGGTTGGTCTGGAGTGAAAGATGCAGCGAGCATGCAAACTGCTGGTATCCTTTTGGGGTATTTCTGAGTTATCCGCTGCTTTCTAGTTCTGGCAGTTGTGTTTTGCTGTTCAGGGGGTTATATTTCACAGGGATGGAATTACAGCCACAGATGTATATTTTAATGTGTAAAATTCTGATGATTTAATAAGGCCTGTAAGTAATATTGTTGCAATATGCCAGTAATCTCTTTGACAGTGAGTCCTGACTACCTCGAGCTGATAATCCTCGTATTGAGATCAAATTAAAGAAATACTTGAAGCTTTTAAAATGTGCAGGAGGACARAGATCCACCTCTAGGAAACAGAAGAACCAAAAAAATTTCATCCTCCCCTTCGGAAATGAAAGGAAAAGCTGCAGGCGCATTCCAGGGCTCTGAGGACACGACCCCTGGCAGTATGGCCTTACCTTAAAGCATTAACCCGTTCAAACCCTCCCTATATCTATTGGTGTGGTCGAAGCTGCATTAGGCTCTAGCAGCCTGCACCCAAAATGAGGATGGGCGAGCAGAAGTGAGAACATCTTCCTTTCTTGGCCACATAGGAAAAAGGCTCTGTCTCAATCCACTCAGTGTATGCAGTGCAGCTGTAATCTGCAACAGAAGTCATGACTAATACAAGTTTTTTCTGGAAAATGARATGTAAGAGAGCATATTCTTTTGGTCATTGATACTTTGGAGGAATCAGTGTACATATGTATAAGTTATTTTTCCTGAGAATCTACTACAGAAAACATCAATTTAAATAAAAAAATAGCAAATAATCATGACTATATTTTAGTATTTGAAAATAATTAAATAATATGAAGAACTAAGTACATTATTAGCCCTTACAGTCTATGGATTTGGCTTATCAAAATGTACAGTGAGCTGCTCAATGTAGTGTAGTAAACCACAGTGTACTCGGCGACAGAGTAGACCATGACTGCATATATAATATATCTTTTAAGAAATTATATAATCTTGTAGGATTATCTCTTAGGATTATATAATATACCTTTTAGGAAATAACACGAGGAAAATTGTTTTGCACTGTTTATGTTTCATAGTTTTTAATCTATAATCATTTCAGAAAATAGCCGGAATCCCAACAGTTCTCGGTGGGACATGGATTATGAGGGACCGTTCCCCGGTGCGAGAGGTCTTGCAGGGAACACGGGCCCTCCCCAGCGCCCCGGCCTGCTCAGAAGCCGCTCGCCCCTTCGTCGCCAGCCAAGARGTTTGCTGAGCCCAAACCTGAGCCAGGAGGCGCAAGGGAAGCGGCTGTCCTGTGACATGCTCCTGAAACTCTCCAGATATGCTTTGATGGATACCTTTGGACCTAGCTTGGCCTGGAATCTCTTCCGATTTTATAACTGTGCTCAAGAAATGAATCAGCCTAAAATCCGTATCCATCCTCTCAAGGTGGCAAGGTACAAAGTGAAGCCGTTCCTGCTGCAGCGGGTGCTTCGGCTCCTCGGGAGCATGGGAGTGTTGTCAGAAGCTCAGCAGTCCAAGGCCTTCTCTCTGCTCAAGGAGCAAATGCTTGAAAAGAAGAACAAGCAGATAAAGCCGCCAGTGGAACAAAGTGGTAGGTACATAAGGAGAGCACGTGGTTTTGGTTTCTCAGCAGGTTTCAGTTTGTGTCTCTACCACCTGCAGATGAGCTGAGCTGTGTAACTGAGCACAGGGTGACTGGTTCTCAGGCTTGTGCTTTCCCATCCGTGGTTTCTGCCTTCCCTTCCTTCTTCCTCATGGCCAGGGCAGCCAGCTCCCCTGGCACGTGGGTCGAGCAGCCTCATGTAAGAGCTTAGGGCTCAATGAGCAGGGTGATGGGCTGCGCACAGCGTCACAAGCAGCCGCCAGGGCGGACAGCACCTGCTGATGGCCTGTGCAAGGGTGCAGGGATCCTTGCTCCGGCCCCGGCCCTTTGCAGAGCACCCAGAGCTCAGCACCCTCAGCCAGGAGTAGGCAGCATGGTGTGAAGCAGGCATGGAAGAAGCAGTTGCTGTGTAGCATCTAGTGTATCTAGTAGCATCTAGTATAGATGCTGCTGCAAAGGCCATTGCCACAGATGCTCCATAGATTACGAGCCAGTCTGTGGGAGTCAATTTGGGCACTAAAAGCAGCATTTTGGCCACGCTGGACCCAGCTCTGTGTCTCCTGTGGCCGCCTGCGACAGCAGCGGCCTTGCAAGCAGGGACACGAGTGGTGCTGTGTTCACAGCTCCCCAGCGCTGYGGGATGCCCCTGGAAAGGAAATCAAGTACTGGTGAAGGAGGACAATATCTGACAGCTGTATGGGTGTGCGTGTGTTTGTCCACATGCATTTATACGTATATAATATGTATTTATGCGCAGCGTGCCCTG